AATTTGTCATCAAAAACGAAGCGAAACCCCGCAGCATCTAGTTGGGACCCCCCTCCAAAGCGAAAATCGTAGCATCCATCATCAATGCAGACACTGTCTTCCTTATAGAACCCATCATCAAAGGTGTATGTGAGGAATAAATAGTCAGATTTGATATCAAGGACATTATCGTTCCATCCATTGCCCAGTATGCTAAGAGATTCCAGATGGTAGCAAGTGGTAGCTCTAGGCGTCGGTTCTGGTGTCAAAGTTGGGCCTGGTGTCGAGGTTGGATGCCGAGTTGGAACATTGCTCAAGCTGGGCGGCCGTGAACATGCATTCTCTAAAATTTTCCCTCCACTCAGCTGGACTGTAATTTCACCATATGCAGTGCCTGATACTGTATCGAAGGGGTCTTCGATCATGGTCAGAGTCCAGTCAATTTGATCCAGATTTCCATACGGGTTACCCCCGACCTTGACACGATAGCAGCCATCATCAGCGCAAACATACCTCTCGCTGAAAGATCCATCCGCGAGAGTCAACGTGCCAGAGATAATGGTATTGCCCAACTCGTCCACAAAGTGATACTGATTACCAGACCAACCGTCTCCGGTGTAATCAAAAAGTTCAAGCTTGTAGTGGGAACAGCCCCAGCCAAAAGATGTGCAAAACGACAGTAAGACAATGCTCAGATATGCTCTCATGGAAACCTTCGAGGTGCGAACTGATTAATATGGCGAATCACTAATGTCCGTATAGGTTCAATTTGCTTTATCTTATCATCGAATAGAGAGATAGAGAGACTTCTAACCTAAGCGGTTGGAGGTGGAGAGCCTCCGATCCCATTAGTCCTCCGGGCTAGAGTAGGGAGTCTTACCTAGTTATTACCATACCCTAGTCCTAGAGCTCATTCTAACCCTCGGACGGAACGAGAACCTTTCAAGACGAAGCTATGGTTCGAGCGTCTGTATCGGCCCACAGCCGCGCGATAATGCGGAATTATGCAACGATCCCAGCAGTGGACACGGTCGACGGGCGCATCCAGCTCGCGTTCTCCGACGCAATCAACTTCGTCCGCCGCAAATTCGATCCGTCGGTCGTCAGGGGCCGCATCGGCGACTACGACCTCTCCGTGGGCGTCTCCCTCCAGGACCGCGAGGACGCCGGCGACGATGTAGACCTGCTCAACGCCATCAAGATTGCCGAGATCTCGATTCGCAAGGGCCGCGGCGACAGCGTGACGGTGTTTGCGACGGAGAAGCCGCGTCCGTTAACTACGAACCTCGTCCTCCAGGGCTCGGTCGCCGACGCCCGCGAGGGCGCGGCGCGCTTGGAGACGACGCTCCGGGCGAGTTCTGCGGCGGCGAGAGCTCGGACGACGAACTCGACGAGGCCGAGACGAACTTCCGCAGGAAGGCGCGCATGCTCGAGAGCCAGGCCAAGGCCGCCTACGGCTACACGAAGACGTGGACGGGCAACAACTTCGAGGACACGGAGACGCTGGCCGTGGACGTCGTGGACATCACACGCACCCGAGCGACCACGACGACCCGGGCTGCGTCGGGCAGCGAGCAGCTGTTCGCGCGGTGCAACGTGTGCCACAACGAGGGCAAGCTCTACGAGATCACGGGGAGCGTCAAGGCGTGCATCGACTACCACATGAAGAAGAAGCACTCGACGTACTGCAACAGCGGCAACGCGCCGGACCTCGAGAAACACCAGAGGCAGAGCATGACGGAGTTCCTGGCGTCCGCGGTCGTCGCGGCGACGCCGAGCCCCGTCGCCCAGACGCCCGTGAACGACACCTTCGAGATCATGCTCACCAAGGTGGACGGCTCGAGGATGACGGTGTGGGACTCGGAGAAGGACGAGCAGCCGGATTACCCCTACTCGGCGGCGAGACTCGAGTTTGGGCGTCTACGGCACACGATGCACGCTGGGGAGACCCTGGAGCTCTTCAAGAACGACGACGAGGAGCCCACGTTGCAGAAGAAGAAGGACGGACCTCGTCGGGCCTCGTCGGAGGCCCCTAAGAAGAAGCGCGGACCGCCGAAGAACAAGTCGAAGAAGAGCGTGGAGGCTCGCAAAAGAAGCGCAAAGCTTCGAGTTAATCATAGCTACACTACGGACTAGAGCTGGTAGCCTCTGAGGAGCACGTTTCGCTTCCGCTTCCGGCCCCCGCCGGAGGGCTCGTCGTCGCTGTCGTCGTCGTCGTCGTCCGACGGCGGCGGCGTGTCGTCGAGGTCGCCGCCGTGGCGCCAGATCGAGGTGAGCCGCTCGGCCTCGTCGTCGTAGACGCGGAACGACGCGATTCGGCGCGACGCGTCCTTGTTGTACTCCACCGCGAAGATCTTCTCCTTGCGCACGCCGGCGCAGATGTTCCGCGCCTCGACCTCGACCCAGGCGAACCGGCTCGTCTCGTAGGCCACGCTGTTGGTCTCCTCGTCGCGCTCGCCGTCGTCGCGCTGGACGTAGAGCCGGACGGACGGCCGCGGCGGCTCCATCGTCCGCGTCGTCGCGCGCGTCGTGCCACGGCCCGTCTCCGTGGAGACGCGGACCAGGGACTCCTTGAGCTGCGCCAAGCGGGCGTCGCCGTCGTAGTCGACGATGACGAGGTCGCCCGCGCGGAAGAGGAGCGTCCGCCGGTCGCCGCCGCGGCCCGCGTCGGCGAGCGGCGCGTCGTCGAGCGCGAGCTGGCGAGCGCGCACCTCTTGGTCCGCGACGCCGGCGGAAATCGGCGCCCAGCGCGCGTCGACGTAGGCGCCCGGTCCCTCCATGCCGCGGGCTTTGGGCGGCGCCTGGCGCTTCCCTTTGAGCCGCTCCGCGACGCCCCGCATGAGCGCGGCGTCCGCGACGGCGGTCTTCCGCTCCGCCTTCGCCTCCTTCGAGCGCCCGCGGCGGCCGGCCTTCTGGAGCGTGTAAATCTCCGTCGCGGCGCGCGCGCCGTCGCAGCTGTAGTGGTCCCTGCGGGGGCCGGGGCGCGTCGAGCGCGAGCGATGGGTTTTCCGCGGACGCGGGCGCGTGCCTCGACGCCGGGGAGGTCATGTAGGAGAAGCCGCAGGGGTTCCTTCGCTTCATGTCCTCGTGGATCGCCTTGGACCGCGCGAGCAGGTACTGGAGCACGTAGGGCATCGGCCACCTGAACGTTTCCATGGTCTGCCAATCACGCGCCGCGCGCCGCGCGAGGAGCGCCGGGAAGGAGACGCCGCGCCGCGCAGCGCCCGCATGGTAGAGAAAAACTTCTCGTTCCTGGGGGTCCCGAACACGGCGGCGCGGACCTCGCGCGCGACGTGCGCGGGGACGCCGAGCGCCGCGAGCGTCGTGATGACGCGCTCGTAGAAGCCGATTTTGCAGGACACGCACGCCCGCACACAGGCCGAGACGTTCCCCACGGGGCCCTGCGCGTCGGCGCCGCGTCGTCCCGTCACCACGTAGTTCTGGTGGTGGAGCTCGCATAAGAGCTCGTCGAGGGCCCGCGTCGCCTTCACGGCGTCCGCGAGGGACGTCGTGTGCGCCGCGGCGTCGGCGGTGTGCTCGAAGGAGCAGGCCCACGACGCGACGGTGGACATGACGCGGTGGACCCACGGATAAATGTCCGTAAGGAGCCTTAGCTGCCCGGCCGCGGTCTCCGCGAAGACGATGGACTCGCCCACTTGACAACAGAACGTCGGCCCCTGGAGCGCGCAGGCCGTCGCCCTGCCGCCGATGCTCAACGCGCCGCGCTTCTGCGTGCCCGCGATCCGCGTCGGAGGGCCGCCGCCCGCCTTCAGCTGCCAGATGCAGTTCTGCGACTCGTCCACGCCGTAGATGATCATCGGGTCGGGCGACCACGAGACGCCCCGGAACTTCGCGTTGTCGAAGGTCGGCAGCCGCGTCACCGTCCATAGGCCCTTGGCGCGGTGCAGCACGACGATGCAGCGCGTCATCGCGACGGCGACCGTGTTGTCGTCCTTGGCGGAGATATCGCCAACCTCGTCCTCGCCGACGAAGATCTTCGTCGCGATCCCGTTGCCAGGGTCGCTGAGCACGATGGCGAAGGCCGCCTTGGCGAGGCGGTCCGTCGCGAAGAGGCCGAAGCCCGACGTCGCGAGCCCGTAGGGCCGCAGGACGAGAGAGCCATGCACTCCCTCTGCGGCTGAGAGCGTGAGCTCTTGTCGCTTTCGCCTCTTATATATATCTATAGAAACGGAGTTAAAGACAATATTGACAGACACTCCGTTGAGTGGTGTCAATGACACCACTCCTGACCAACATTATCTTTAACTCCGTTTCTATACGCCTGATACTTCGCGGGAGACTGACTGATACTTCGCGGGAGACTGCCTGATACTTCGCGGGAGACTGCCTGATACTTCGCGGGAGACTGCCTGATACTTCGCGGGAGACCGCCTGATACTTCGCGGGAGACCGCCTGATACTTCGCGGGAGACTGCCTGATACTTCGCGGGAGACCGCCTGATACTTCGCGGGAGACCGCCTGATACTTCGCGGGAGACCGCCTGATACTTCGCGGGAGACTGCCTGATACTTCGCGGGAGACCGCCTGATACTTTGCGGGAGACTGCCTGATACTTCGCGGGAGACTGACTGATACTTCGCGGGAGACTGCCTGATACTTCGCGGGAGACCGCCTGATACTTCGCGGGAGACCGCCTGATACTTCGCGGGAGACTGCCTGATACTTCGCGGGAGACCGCCTGATACTTCGCGGGAGACCGCCTGATACTTCGCGGGAGACTGCCTGATACTTCGCGGGAGACCGCCTGATACTTCGCGGGAGACCGCCTGATACTTCGCGGGAGACCGCCTGATACTTCGCGGGAGACTGCCTGATACTTCGCGGGAGACCGCCTGATACTTCGCGGGAGACTGCCTGATACTTCGCGGGAGACCGCCTGATACTTCGCGGGAGACTGCCTGATACTTCGCGGGAGACTGACTGATACTTCGCGGGAGACTGACTGATACATTTATTTTTTAATTTGATTTTTTAATTCATCAGCGCGTTTTTGATGCCACCTGTAAGATTTACCCTTGAATTCGTCCATATAAATCTTCAATGAAAACTCGTCAAGGTCTTTTATATCATTGTAAAGTCCTTCAATTGTTTTTTCATTCAAGATATAAGGGGCTCTCAAAAATTTACTTAAATATTTTTCATTCATTGATTTTATTTCAATTAATTTTATCAATATTTCAACAAAAGAGTTTGAATGTAAACGTGAAGCGAGTGAATTATTCATAATTATACACGTATATTCCATTCCCCATTCGATTTTCAGTTTCTCAAGACCATTCCATAACGCAGGCGAGTCTATTTTAGATGCTACACTATCGCACATAAATTTTGTCAGATCTGACTTTGACATTCCCCATTCGATTTTCAGTTTCTCAAGACCATTCCATAACGCAGGCGAGTCTATTTTAGATGCTACACTATCGCACATAAATTTTGTTAGATCTGACTTTGACATTCCCCATTCGATTTTTAGTTTCTCAAGACCATTCCATAACGCAGGCGAGTCTATTTTAGATGCTACACTATCGCACATAAATTTTGTTAGCAGTTGATGTAGAAAAGGATATAACACATACTTATCACTCTAATCAATATTATGAGTTAGATGATAAAGTATTTGAAGAGTTTGAGGATTGGAAAGACAATAAAATGCAAGAGGCTAAAGAATCACATCCCGAATTGGTGATTACTTTTATTGGGTGGGGGTTACTTGACTATTCTCTTGTAACTATCAAAAGAAATAGAGAGTGGTTTGCTACAAAAACGGAAGAAATATCAAAATTCTGGGATAACGTGGTAGAGCACAGGGAATTATTCAAGACAAATCCAAATTTATTTGGAAATGAGAAAGATGAAAATGTAAAGGAAAAGAAAAAACGTAATGATATAAATGAATTTAACATCTGTATGATTGATGATGATGATGATTTACTGGAAACTTTAGAAGCAGTAAATACTCAAGAGACTGAACTGGTAACTCAATCAGCATCAGATGAAGAACAGGAAAATCAGGATAAAAATAAAAAGCGAAAACGTAGGACTAAAGAAGAAATAGAGGAAGATAAAATTAGAAAGCAAGAGGAAAAGTTAAAGAAGCAGGAGGAAAAACTTAAGAGGCAGGAAGAAAAGCTCAGGAAACAAGAAGAAAAACTTCAAAAACAAGAAGCTATGACAATGATTTAGAAATACCAAATCTTGGTCGTGATATCCTGGTTCATAAAAAAATATATACACCAAAACTTGCCAAAAAGGAATTTATGGACCACAAGGTATTCCAAAAGGAATCTTTGGAAGAATACTTCTGCAAATTTAAGACTATATACGAAAACATTATTGACATTCTTGACCTAAATGAGACACAAACTGGAGATATCGGGAATATGCTACTAATGCTTGATTTTCTTAGAGAACACGAACCACTTTTCGTAAAACAGCTTCCGAGACCTACATACATTCCATATAATTCTTCAAAGACAAATCTTTTAACATTTAACAATGCTCTCACTAAACTACAGGTATTTTCCAAGGAAGGAGATGACCTTATGAAATTTATTGACAAAACATTGACTTGTGCGGGGAAGAAAAAATTTCGTGAACTTTTCAATTCTCCTTCTTGTGTTCCAGAAGTTCTTGAAAATAGATACGACTCTGTTCAGCATTTTATTGATAATAGAAATCTATTAGATGAAGTTAAAAAACATTTGAAAATACGCGATTTGAACCGTATCTATAGACGCTATGCTGTCGGTAAAATTGATGTTTATGTGGATATGCCTCGTATTAACGAAATGAATGAAAGGATTAATATTCTCATGGATATATTCAAAAATACAGAAACTGTCCCATCCTGGATGCCTGAAAATAGTGTGATTAATGATTTTCAAGATTACTCTGAAAATTTAAAAACAGTTTTCAATTTTGAAAATATAAAGGAACGAGGGAATGTATTCAATGAAGGAATTTCAGTTGAGCTTGATGAGTTGTGGGAAGAATTAAAAAAGAATGATGATGAACTTGAAAGGGTGCGCAAGTATCTCTCTGGTCTAATTGATGCGGAGGTAAAGAAAAGTAGGTACCAACAGGATTCTCGGAAAAAAACATTTACAAATGAAGATACATCAGTACTCGTCCAAGGAGGTTCTCTCCGCACTTGGTCATACCGTTCACCTTGTATTTGTTGCAGTCAATGTTGCATTATTGCCGTCCCCATCGCCGTCGCCCGCCCCGTCGTCCGTCGCCGTTCGTCGTCGCGGGTCGAGCGCAGATGCGACGTCGACGAAGACGACGGAGCCCGCGCGGCCGCTCGCGAGCGCGCCGCACGCGACGTACGCGACGTCGCCGCGGAGCGCGACGCCCGTCGGCTCCACGAGCCCGGAGAGGACCATGGCGTTCGGCGCGGGGATGTCCATCATCTTCAGGCTCCTCAGCTCGCCGCGGCCCTTGTCCGTGTACAGGAGCACGCCGGACTTCGCGTCCCACGCGGCCCCGTAGGGCATGTTGTAGAGGCTCTTCGGGTTCTTGAGGGGCGAGCGGTAGGGCTCCGGGCCGAGGGTGATGACGATGCGCGATGACTTCGCCGCGCGGTCCGCGTCCGAGAGCATGGCCGTCGAGAGCTCGGGCTCAAATACGGCCATTGCGTCGGCGTCCGAGAACTTGTTCCGCGCCACGACGGCCGTCTTCGTCGTCGCCTTGCGCACCTTCTTTTGCCGCTCCTGGTCCGCGTCGTGCCAGAGGCACTCCACCACTCGATGGCCGCAGAGGTGTCCGCCGACCCGCAGATAATGATTTTTCGACGCGTTCCGGATCGACTTCAAGTCGTGGGGCCCGTCGGAGCCGAACTCGATGAGGCTCGATTTGAACCGGTCGGCGCGCACGCCGTTGCCCTCCGGCGCCGCGTCGATGGCCGCGTGGGGCACGTAGCGGCCGCCGTGGTCCGGCTCGTCGTCGCTCGGGGAATCCGCGGTCCGCGTCGCGCTCGCGGACGCCGCGGCGGGGACCGCCGCGCGCTCGGCGCACCTCGCCTTTATCGCCGTGTCGGCCGGCGAGCCGGCGTCCTGATTATGCCCAAGCACAACGCAGGAGTAGCATACTTCGTTCTTCGCCTCGCAGGTCGAGCACACGCGGAGTTGCCAGCTCGGCAACCCGTCGTGCTCCTCACACGTGTGGCCCCAGCCGAGCTCGCGCTCCGCGACGGCGCACTTGTCGCAGTAGATGTCGCACATGGCCTCGGCGTCGGCCATGGAGCCGCCGGTCTGGTGGGCCTCGAGCACGCAACCGAAGCAGGCGACGATGGGCAAGTATCGCGCGACGCCCGCGATGATGGTCGCCGCGCCGCCGCCGGGCGACTTCATCGACGCGCCCAGATGGCCCACGACGGCGCCGTCGGCCGTGGCGATCATGTACTCGTCCATCTCGACGGCCAGCGGGTCGTCGGCGAGGTACTTGCGCAGCCCGTCGTCGTCGAGCGCGTCGAGCTGGCGCCCGCGCTCGATGCCGTAGGGCCCGGAGGCGGCCCCGAAGTTCATGCCGCTCTCCTCGTCGAACATGTGCCCCTGCTTGATCAGCATCCCGTCCGCGGACGTCGCCGCGAGGCAGATGCGCTTGCGGACCGTGTGCATGTATGTAGTCTTCGCGCGCCGCGCGGCGTGCATGAAGTTGAGCAGGTCGTAGAGGATCACGGTGTCCATGGTGTCGTCCGTCGCCGGGAACCAGCGGCGCACGGTGTCCGGGTGATAGGCGCCAGAGTTCAACCGCGCGACGTAGTCGCGGTTCGACAGCGGCTCGTCCTCGCCCGTGGCGCCCGCGCCGTGGAGCAGGTAGGAGGCGGACCTGCCGCACCGCGACTGGAGCGTCGCCTGGAAGGACTTGAGCGCCTCGAAGTCGTACTCGCGCTCGACCCGAAGCTTGCCCAGGCCAATCAAACAGAATCTGTGGAAGGACTGCACTGCGACGTGCGACTCGTCGAAGATGCCGAGGTTGTGGCACGTCTGCGCCGCCACCGCGACGGGGCAGAGCTGCACCGGCACTTCGACGCTCGCGCCGGGCAGCTGCGACGCCGCGCTCTGCACCGCGTCGCTCGAATGATACAATTTTAGAATGATTATATATATATCTATACAGTCTGTAACGAACGAAGAATACGTTGAATATTTCATCCTGTATACTGGATGCAAAAGACCATTTATTTTCAATAATCCTACTCTGTGATATTATTTTGTCGAATTACTTAAACCCAAAACCTAACCTACCTAAAGTTTCAATTCAAATATAAAAACCCTGTTCACACCAATAATCATATTCTTTTTGTAATCTGGCAATGTTTTCTGCTTCGCTTGACCCATATACGGTTAAATACTTTTTTCCTCGGAAGAATACAAAACTATATTTTCGTTCTCCTAATTGATTTCTTTCAAGATGGTTGGTTCTGTGTTCAAAGTCCCGTTTCATTATATCATCCCAACTTTCATCATCTTCATCATCCTCATCTTCACTATCATACTTCGGCGGATGTATTTTGTCATCAATTATTTTGTTAGTTAAATAATAGCGAGGGAGTCTCTCGTAGTCTGTAGACTCGTTAAAGTTTTCCCAATCATACTCCAATTCGCATTCGTGTTTATCGGCTTTAAACCAAGCATATTCGTTGATGGATTTAACAGTTTCGACAAAACTTACGTTATGTGCCATTCGGAAAATCTCGGTGAGAACATCATCAGGCAACACGTCGAGACGGGTCGGCGACATCAAAATACCAAATTGTCTTAAATTCCCCAAACAAACCCATTGTTATCCCCTCAAGCAACTACAAGACTATACCTTTAACGGGTTAGACGACTTTGGCAAGATGACTTTTACACTGGGTATGAATGGACTTTACAACAAACTCATCCCATACCCCCAGGCACAATAAATGAACTTTCGCCAATTTTGAAACTGCGCTGTTTTACTGTCTTGTAACCCTCGATTTAGGCTTGTTGGACTTTGCGAGAAATCTCGTCCAATTGTCCAGCCATCTGGCCCACAGACTGCTGAAGCTGCAGCAGGATGTCATACGCTGACCCGAGTTCAGGGGGCTCCTTTTTGCGTTCCTCCTCGATTATCTCGTCATTGAGTCCGCTCAAATAACTGTGAAGCCTCTCCTCAGAAAACTCTGATTTATCAGAATTATCATATGGTAGTAATTCAAACATCAGAGCCAAGAGTGTGTTTTCATGGATAGGCGCCGGCGGGATGGCGCCGCCTGACAACATACCCATAGCCATATCACAGACCTCCAATTTCAAATGCTCAAGCAATTTATCATTCAAACCCAACCCCTGGTTGCCAGCAGAAACCATGACACCCAAAAAATATAAGCCGCGCCACCCCGGACCCCGGGGAAGCGGCGAGCTGGGAGAGGACCACCACAACCAGCAGTTTTATTTAGCTGGATGATGATAGGTGGTCTAAACTCACTAACTCGTTACCGGAAACATATTGTACTGCCGTAAATGCAATTATTCGGGATTCGGACAAATGATAATTGAGGGGGTTGAACGATGGTCGAACGATATCTGACGCTGTGTTCGGCATGTTCCGGGCCACTGTGGAAGAAACTGAGAGCACTTCGCCGTTAGAAGTCGGGGTCGGCGGTCTCGAAAAGTCACTCCATGTCGAACGAGAGGCAGCAGAAGTCGAACGCGCCATGGTGGGCGCGTCGCGCCGCGCTGGGGGGCGGGGAACAGAGATCTCAGCTTCTGCGTGTTCCCCCACGAGACGGACTGAAGTTTCAGGATCTCTGACCCCGAGTTCCTACTGCGAACTACTCTCGTTTTCTTCCCCTGTGAACCAAAATATGCCCAACGCAGCGTCGGAGATCGTTGGACCATGCTCGAAACTCAGTACTACTGAGATCTCGTCCGACCAATGGGATCAGTACAGGTAATCTCCGATGAGCTGTTATTTATTATTGCAGCTCAGTCGATACTCGCTCCTTATGCTCTTATCTGGCCGGCGCCGCAGAAGCAGCCTGCCGGCGAAATTCTTTCTGAGGAGGGGCATAGGGTAGATTGGAGAGGCGGCGGCCATGGTTAGGACCAACCCGATCCCGCCGCAGCTGGTAGATCGCCCGTTCATTGAACAGGTGCGAGCCTTGCCAGCGCGGGTCGCGCTGGAGGCCTTTCTCGCGGCGGCGGCGGGCTTCACGGATGACCCGCCCGCGCGCGACGCCTTCGCAGTGGTGCTGCGAAGTTTGACTGGGGAGATATTTGGCGGGGACTTGCCTCGGGACGTGAGGAAGTTTTCGCCAGGGCTGCAGATGGATTACATCGGCCGAGCGGTGAACCAGTTGGTGCGTGAGAATTATCTGCAGCTGGTTGTGTTCCCTGATTTTGAGGCAGCTGTGGCGGCGCTGTCGCAAGCGGTCCAGCGCCGAGCTGCAGACACGGGCTCCGAGTTTTCGATTTGTGACGAGTCGCGGGCACCTGACTTGGTCGAGGGTGATTTTCGGGTGAATGATAAGGAGTTGAATGCTCCTGTTACTGTGGCAATGTTGGATGCGCGATTGGATGCGCGAGATGCGACCAACAAGCGAGACTTTGAGACGATGCTGAGCGATAATAATGTAACGTTAACGGCCAGTATTACAGAGATAGTGAAGCAGCAGCTGACGGAGGCGCTTGCGGCAGCTCGCGAGCGGCCGCCGCAGGCTGCGGCCCCAGCACCACTGCCATCGTCAACGGCCCTAGCGTTGGCTGGAGCGGTAGGGGCCCAGCGTCTTCAGCAGGGAGGACAACCGAGTGCGGGAGCGCTGGCAACAGCGGCAGCTCCAGGGCCGCCCCCGCCAGCGTTGGTGTTGGCAGCCCCAGGGCCGCCCCCACAGCGTCCTCCGCCGCAGGAGCAGCCGGGAGGCGGGGTACCTTTATCAGCGGAAGCAACGGCGTTTGTTCCCGGAGGGTTCCAGCACGGTCAGCAAGCGGCAGCTCGGCTCCGGGCCCGGCCCCAGCGTCGCCGACGCGGCAGCAACCGCATGTTTTCGATCCGCCGGTGTCGCCTGGGTTGGAGCTGGCAAAGACAGTGTATGCGGATATCAACGGTAAGTGGCGCGAGGTTAATGTCTTGTGCCACCGCGGTGGGATGATCTGTGTGGCGTGGACTGGCGGTGAGTCGCAGCAACGGCACAGTATGGATTTGCCGCGGGGCAAGGTCCGGACGCTTGAGGAGCATAACGATCTTAAAGGGCGCTTCATTATTCGGCAGTTTCCCATGCTTATGCGCTTCTTCGGCACCATCGGAGAGGTAGAGCAGCATCAGTACATCAGAATGTTGGCAAGCGGAGTTAAGTCCGTTGCCGGCGACGCCTATACCCTTGACGTCAAAGCGGCTGCGGTGGAGCGGGCTATTTCGAGCATCGGGATGAGCGAAGAAATGATAAGCGCGATGTTTGCAGACGGCCCGCAGGCGCCTCAGCAGGCGGTGGTTGGTCACGTCACCGCCAAGCTGGCTGAGGCCATCAGAGCGTCTCAGCAGAGCGGAGACAGTTTGGTCAAGATCACAGATGCGTCGACTAAAGTAGCAACACTGGGCAGTGGAGGCGGTTCCCCATTTCGGGGAAGCAGCTGGCGGACAAGCGTTCAATGTTATGTCTGGGAACCATTGGCATAGGCGGGCTGGGCAGGAGGGTATTCTCTGCCAGCCATCCAGCGCCGACGATGCGCGCATACATCGACGCGGACGTGGCCCGGCAGCCTATGGGGCCGACCATGAGGAGAACAAATCTATGCATGATCCGACACTAACGATGGTTGAACGATATCTGACGCTGCGTTTGGCATGTTCCGGGCCACGGGAGGAGAAATTGAGAGCACTTCGCCGTAGGAAGTCGGGGTCGGCGGCCCTAAAAAATTACCCCATGTCGTGCGAGGCGAAGGATTGTAGGGCAATTCTTAGTGTACTTTCCGCCAGAATTAGTATAGGCGCTTGTCAAATCCTAACGGGATTTCAAATTTCACATTTCTACAATTTTTTAGAGAAGGGTTGTAATCGGGGAAATTAGAATCAAAGTAATATTTTTTTGAGTTTTGAACTTGTCCGTCAGTTTGGATGGGGTAATGTTTCGGGTAATTCCTCATTCAAAATTGAATATCTGATGATTTCCTTTCTTGTCTTATGTTAATGTTGATGTGGTGTTGATGTGGTGTTGATGCGATGTTGATGTGGTGCTGATGCGATGTTGTTTTATAAGAGGCTGGGTTTGAAGTGAGATTGATGTCAGTCTTGATGTGATGTTGTTTTATAAGAGGCTGATGATGATGTCAGTCTTGATGGTGTTGATGTGAAAATTGAATAAACTCAACGGCAGTGAAAACTACTGGTTTTTAGAGGAGGATGTCACATATTTATCACTGGCACCTAACATTCGAGGCGAAGCAGGGGCCGAAGACGCTCGTACGGGCGCTCCCGCGGCGCTGAGGGGACGGAGATGAGGGATCTTAGTTTCTGCGGATTCCCAGCTGCGCAGCCGGGAAAGCAGCGCGCTGTGAGCATGCAGGTCGGGTTCGAGACCAGGTTCGCGTGCTCACCCGACTCTCACCCAGCTCCCGGTCGTGGCCGGCCGCCACGCCCGACTCGCTGCGGGGGAGCAGAGAGGTTCCCCCCAACGTTCCCCCAGCCGGGACGTTTCAGCTGACTTGCAGTCAGGCATTTTCGCGCTACAGAGAGCGTTCAGCGCGCCCCCGGACGGAGTTGAGATTTTGAAGCTAGTTCAATTTTGCTCGGAGGACTAGGATGCAAGCGCTAAAAATGTAAGTAGGTTGGGGGATAGGCGAGCGAGGTCGGTTGGGAACGTGACTAGTGGAGTTTTAGGTGCCAGCTCAAGCGTAGTTTCGTAGTGCTTCAATTGAGGTCTTTACGTTTTACGTTTCTTTGCTGCTATTTTTTCGCGTGTCTCTTGTGTCTTCCTGAGTTTCTCCTTGGCCTTCTGTGCTTCCGTGTCAGCTCTGTAGCCTAGCAGTTGCACGTACCGCGGCGTGCCACACCAGTGCTGATAATCGCACTCGAGCGGGGCTACTGGCTCGCCGGATAGTATGGTGCCCTGATTTTCACGATTTCTGCATGGGAGGCACCTGCACGCTATGAATCTGGTTTCAATGAACATCTTCCTTTTGCCATCTTTGCCCGTGCAAGCCAGATCATCAGAATCCGGCTCGGAGTCCACGCGCGCCAGGGGATGTTCTTTCGGCTCTGGCGTCCACGGGGCTTTGATCCTAACGCAATACAGCTGGCTTGAATGCGCGTTCGGAGCATCATAGTGGATGCCTCCATTAACTTCGTCTACAGTTGCCCAGCCTTGTACGTCCGTGTCCTCGTGTTTCGCTGCGCCGTCGTTGTAGCCCCCATATATATAACAACCGTTGCATGACCACGTACCTGCAGGGCTTGGGCTTGGGTGTTTTATGTACTCCATACAAAAATCAACCATGCCCTTTGCGTTGTAGACTGAATTTGGAAGGGTGTCTGATCTGATCATCTCCATGCGCAACCTTGCGGGCTGCGCACCGTATGCGTCGACCGGGCCGCTCATGTGGTGCGCTGCGCCAAACATCTGCATGATCTCGACATCGTATTTTTCTGTAATTCCATAGAGATACCCAAAGGAAGGTGCGCCTTTATACGTCGATGTTTTTCCGTCTGAAATCACTGTAATTTTTTTAAGCCCGGGCACTGCGCCTCGGGAACATGCACGCCCGATTGCGCTCATAGCGGGCGGACGCAGCCGATCACGTCGAGGCTCTCCCCATCCTCCTTCTGGCAATTGCAATTTTGATTCCTTGTGTGGTTCCTGGCCGCGTAGGC